TGCATACAGGGATATACACAGATATATATGATGTGTGTGTGTTGAGTATGGCCTTGTACCTGATTTTCAAGCTAAAAAGAAGTATTTGCATCTGTATAACATCACTTGTACTGACATGTATGTTTTTTGTCCACTAGCATGTTTTTAGAACAGTTTTCAGATGGAAAAGTGCAAGTTTGTGATCAATAAAATGGTCTACAATCAGATACGGAGAGCACACAGTAGTCTGATTTTGTCACAAAGCATTGTATTTCAAATACACTTTATGAGAGAGGAACACAATACTAATTTACAAGAAAAAAGTTGGAAATGCAGCTTTAAACTCTGGCCTTTCTGTAAGCAAAGAGCATGAAAGAAAAGGGAGATTTGTAAAGAAAGAAGAGGCCTACATAAAAGTTGAGTTAGTTCAATAGAATAGGAACAATGGACCTCTATCTACATTTCAAAGTAAACCGCATATGCACTATCATGTGCTGTTCTTCGTGTAAGTTTATGGTACTGAAATGGCAGTCCTGATACTTAAAAGTAGGGTTGGGTGATATGGCCAAAAAAAAAAAAAGTCTTGCTTTTTTGCACACCCAGGACGATTACGATTTTAATCAATTTAAACTAAATTATATGCTATTATTTAAGAATTTATAAACTGCCTTAAGTTACATTTGTATAGCTATCTAATCATAATTGCACAATAACCGTGGTTTATAAGTAAATCAGGAGAAACGTTTTTAATAATAATCCTCGATTTTACAGTTTTGCAATTTTTCTAAATCTTTATTACTTAAAAACCCAAATTGATTTAATTAATTCAATTAATTGCCCAGTCCAACTCGAAAGTGTAAATTTTTGAGCCTGAAATTGGTGACCACTTACAACTATTTACACCATAACTACAACACCTCAGTGCTTTCAGTACATGGACTGGAAATTATTTATTTCATTCAAGTACAAAAAATATTTCCCTTAGCTTTATTGTAAAGTCAATAGTCAACAAAAAAGCCAACAGAAAAAAAGGAGAAAAACAAAAAAGATTGCAGCTGTGCCATGTTCAAAATGTGTTTCAAAACTTCTACCAAGATATTCTCTGATAAAGTTGAACATGCAAGGATGATCATTCAGCACAAATGAGCATTTATTCTAACCTTAATCACTAACAATTTACTTTCTCCTCCTTGACCTCATATTGTAGCCTGAATTGAGACTTTCATTTTGAGAAGAGTCAGGCTGTGCTGCTCCCTGTTCGTTTTATTGTTTTTGAGCACCCCAGCTCGTGTATCAGGTGTTCTCTGTATTTCTTCTAGAACTTGTGTTTTTTCAAGCTCAAATCTCCCAGGATGCTTTGCAAACTCACCGTGTGTTGACCTTCACAGATTGGTACAGGCCCAGAAACTTTCCCCCACCACCGCGAGCGAATGGAGAGGTGAAGAGAATTTAATTTCGCTCAATGTGTGTTTGTGCTCCACGTGTCTTTCCTTTCTTCTGACCTGTTCGGAAGGGCGGCCATTTTGGAGGCGTTGGTGGTCCCAGCACCGTGCCAGTCTCCACAGGGTCAGTGTTATGCCAGCTGTTTGGGTTTCACAAGGCAAAGTAATTATTCATGTCAAGTCCAATTACTCACATCACTGCGCGCAATATTTTAATTTTCATCAGGAGAGACGCCATGCTCCACTAACCTGTTTGTGTGGGGGAACTGTGTAAAGAGTTTGATAAACAAAGACCTCACAAATATGGCACAAATGAATGAGATACTTGATAGATTAATCTGATTTTGTTTTGTCAATTATCTGAAACGAGGTGGACACACACATAACACTGATACAAGTTTTGTTTGTTTCCAGTTGGTGAGGCTAGTGAGGCTAATTGGTGTAGTTATTATTAAATGGCTCTGGAAAGTTACACCCTAAATATAAATATACAGATGTTGGAGCATTTTGAAAGAGTGTATTATTTAGTATTGAAAACTTTTAAAGGTCTGTTTAATTGACTCCTTTGAGCTTTTAGTTATGTTAGAATTCTGTTACCTCATTAAAAACATACTTGGAGTTGTGCTTTGTTTCATTCGCATATATTTGAATGACTTCAAATCTGAGTATCTCCAAAGTTCAGAATGCTCTGCTCCACCTTATGATGTCAAGTAGTGGTAGTTTTCAAGTTACCAGCTACCTTTTAACTTTTGTTTAGAAAAAATTTGCCATTGCAGTTCTGAAATAATCCAAATGATTCTAGTAAAGGTGTATGGAGTTTAAAAACACAGTGGAGCAATTTTTGTATTACAGATCATTAATTTGAAAGCACTTATAGTATTTATTATATTACACAAATTGCAGAAGTTATCACTATGTATTTACACAGATGGCTACTACTATTTTAGTGTCAATTAATATACTTACAAACTTTCCTATAGGCTACCAAAGGTACTTATTAGGTGTTACCATGGTAACATACTTAAACAGTATTTAAAAGAGCTGTTACTGTTACTGTTACTGTTATGGCTCCTCTTCATCAGTGTCCAAGTTGTGTTTGTGTGTTTGTATATTCATTTTCAGTTTCCTGTTTATAGGCACCATTTTGAGCACTTTTGACCATCCAAAAGATATATTTAGTTTGGAATTGTCAATTGCGATGACAACAACACATTCCCCATCCCACTGAAACCCATGGATATTGCCCCTGTCACTAATCATTGTCAATTGTTATGGGTGTTGTCATTTGTCTGAAGCTCCGAGTCGCTGTCATAGCTGTTTCCCTGGTACCTTAAAAATGCCAACAAGCAGAGGGGAATGAATAAATATGTCTGCAGTCTCTCTCCTCTATATCATTTACATCTCCAGCTCCATAAAGTTAACTTCTTGGCTCTGGGCTGTCAGTGATTCAGCAGCTTCCTGATTCCTCCTCCTCCTCCTCCTCTGTGTTTCCTGAGCCAGAGTTATGACTTGTATCGAGTCTGAATCGTGCCAGAGAACAGCAGCCTTCTGTCCCTCCTGCAGCTCTGCCAGCCCCAAACTCACACTCTGTGCATACAAACAGGAACTTTGCACATGCACAACCCTTGATGTTTGGTTATTTTGCATGTAAAGAGTAAATATTATCTGATAGGCCATGTCCACATTTTAAAATAACACTACAGAACGTTTCTAGCTTTATAATTTGTTAGTTAGTACATACTAGTAGCACCTCTCTTGTACTCAGTATTTATTTTACTATATAAGAGTAAGGGATAAATAGACTACAGGGATAAGTAGACTATAGAACAGTGGAGGAAGAAGTACTCAGTTACTGGAGTAAATGTACAAATATCGGAGCAAATAAATACTCAAATAAAAGTAAAAGTATCACATGAAAAATGTACTTAAGTAACAGTATTGAAGTACCTGTTTAAAAATGTACTTAAAGAGTAAAAAGTTAAAGTATTTTGCACAGAGTTTGAGGTCGTATAAAACTTCATATGTACTGATTTTGATAACAGAATTTCTTCAACAGAAACAATTGAATTCCTAGCTTTTTTTATTTTGCATATTTTTGTTTGCTCAAATTACAGATGTGTGTAAAAAATAAAACCTTCAAGCATCAGGTCTCATCAACAATAATAAAAAAATACTTTTACTTTTCGGTCTCTCAAGTGTACTGAAGTAAAAGAAAAGTACATATCTACTTTAGAATGTACTTAAGTTCGTTAACTTCGTTATATTCCACCTCTGCTATAAGTGATTAATCAATGTCATTATTTTATGGGAGTCATCACAAGCTTCATAAAATATTATAAATGAGGGTCCGGTGGTGGGGGGAGCATAAAGAAAGACTTAACTCATCACTCTGAACAAATATAAGTCTGATTCAGGCTTAGTGACTACTTAATTCAAGAGTTTTAGTTAAAGTAGGACTGAATCATTCTTAATAATAAACATGGAAATAAATGTGTTCTTAATGAAGTCTCTAAGGCTGTAGTGTAAACAGTAACAGCGGTTATTATAACTTGTCACTAAAGTCCACCAGCTGTATCACCACATATTTACACAATTTGCGTAAAGCTCAGTCCGGTGTCACTAATCCCTCTAAATCCTGCCCGTTATGTAAGTGAGGTAAGTCTGGAGACTATATGGCCCAATGACCTGCTGAACTGAGTATGGCTGTGCAAACCGAGCTGTGGGAATGTTACGTGCAAATGCGAAGACACGATGAAATACGAGCCGTTACTAGTGCAGTACCAGTAAACATCACTAAAGGGCAGAGTTTCTCAATTTAATGAAGGATTTTTTTTTCATGTTGGGTTTGTCATTATAGTGCTTTTATGAGGATCAGAAAATAAATCCCTCATTTATTCAAAAGCACAGTATGTAATTTTCTGCTTGGTGTTATTGTTGAGCCTGGAATG